TTTTAATTCGGTGTTCCATTAACATTTTTCATTAGGACAAAGAACTAGTTAGTCACGATAACACTTTCAATATTTCTGATATAATATGCCCCTGGCTATATTGTAAGATAAATTATTTTGATGGTATATTGAAACCTGGCTACAGATTGTATAGCTTCTTGACATGATTTATATAGCAAATTATGTTCATGCCTAAATTAAGTCTGAGAGTTATAACATTCAGAGCTCCCTGATTAAAACAGAAATATTTTTATGGTGTCAATATATAAAAATACTAAGTACATAAAATCTTTGTTAAGAGGAATAAAGTCATCAGAAGTTTGCACCAATAATAGATGATAATGTTATACATTCTCAAAAATATACTTCCAAGGTAAAATATAGGCTCAATTTCAGACATGTCTAACAATTACTAATATATAATATTACATAGAATATTTTATTTGTATCATATAGATGAACTCAATTCGCAATAGCTACTTGGTTTCAACTTACTGCATCTTTTAAATATTTCTAATTTATATCAAGTTGAAGGGGCTTGGGAAATAGATAATCCTATTCTTGAAATTTTGAATAAAATTTTAAGATTAATCTTGAAAGGGATTTAGACTTTCATAAAAATGTATCTTTAAAAAATATATATCTCTAAATTACAAACGTTCCCCAAGAGATTCTCTTTCCAGGGCCCAAAACTTCTCCCCACGAAAGGTAACCCCGTGGGCCAGTGTCTGGCATTTTGGGGGACTATCGAGAATGAGGAAGTATGCTTCTTTTGTTCTCTTTATATTGTTTAGATACTGTAACCCATGATTAAAGCATTTGAATTAATCAGAACTTAAAACTTTTAAACAAAACTCATTGTACAACAGCAAGATTGTGTATAAAGCAGAAACCAAATTCACTGCCATCCAGTCTGTGCCAGCTCATAGCGGCACCCTTGTGGGGTTTTGAGACTAACTTTTTTATAGGAGTCGAAGAAAATATTTGTAGATAGATAAGAAAAAAATGACTCCTGTTTTAAAATGACTAGCTATTTATAGAAGAGGAAATATGGATGGCCAATGAACACTTTCCCTTTTTAAAAAGATGCTCAACTCTCCTAGCAATCAGAAGCATGCAAATTAATGAGAAACATTTTACCACATGAACAAATATTTTACCAATCTTCTTTTAGAAGAATTAATATCAGGCTCGTCCCAAGGAGTTGGGGATTGATGATGCCCCAAACGTCCAACTCTTCCATGATACTTTTCAGCTCCATTTTTCCCCCTCTCCCCCTCACTCCTCCCTTGAATATATTTCCTCACTCTAATGGGCTCTGTGAACCACTGCAACCTCCCACAAAAACTCAGGAACGAGAAATGTCGCGTGTGGTTGGTGGGTGCTATTTAGTCCAAAGGTCAGGCAGGGGTAAGCCTGATGGTGGGCCCAGAGGACATGTTCCACTCCTGGCTCTTGCTGGTAATGAAATTCTACCCCCTGCTTCTCAGAGAGCTCATTCTATATGCAGCAGGATGGCATGGCAGAGCATCCTGTTCACAATTACTCACAGGCTAATCCTGTTTTTCCCACCCTTCTTTTAGACCCTTGCAGGAAAAGATCGTTTGGTGGGAGTTACAGTGAGTGTCCAAAGAGTAATCAAATTAATATAGAACCCCTCACCTTTTTAACGATACCCCTGAACTGTATCTTCTTTATGCAAGTATGATCTCGGTCCTCTGCAGGTGTTTCCAGTGGGCATTGGAAGCAGCTTTTCTTTGCTCAGTTGTAGCATATCATTCCTTGCATCCATTAAAAGTAACTGCCCAAGAAAACCCTTAAACAAAGGGTGTAGCCTGAATCACATCCTCTGCTAAGGTCAGGTCTTAGTCTCCTCCTATTCTTGTTTGTTAGCAGGTCGTGCCTTCCAAAGTGGAACTCTAGCTACAGCACATGAGATCCAGATTTATCATTTATCACATAAGAGAATGTGGTTGAGAGGGCCATATTCATTACCGACAGCTCGAAAGGTGTGAGTGGATACTCACAAACCAGCTTTCTTCGGTGCTGGTCCTAGAATAAGTCGACTGCGGAGTAGTTCTTGGCAACTTCAGCCGTACTTAGAGGGTCTGTTCACAGGAGACTTTTTATTCGGATAAATATATTTGAAGCTGTGTTGTTATACAAAACAGCAAGATCCAAAGGGTAACAATGTGTGTTCTTTTTCTAGAAGCCAATTAGTAATGGTCTTCCCCCAACTCCGAAAGTTCATGTAAGTACTCACTATCAAATAGGTAATGTTTTCAAACAAACTATAATGAGAAATGACTTGACTATACACTCGGGTAGAATTCTTTGTCTGCTACAAAGAAGTTCCCTTATTGACAACATGTTTAAGGCTGCTCATTTAATCTTACCAGATTGCATCTGAAATGTAGGTTTTCAAAATAGATTATGATAAACCATACATGTAAAACATATTATTCAAAATGTATTACTATCTTAGTTGTGGCTGTTCTGTAAGAATTGTGTAAAGGGCACACAAGCATAAGAGGAAGCATAAAGCATGTTAGATTACAATTGAATTGGTTCCGACTCATAGCAACCCTGTGGACAACAGAACCAAGCCCCACCCAGCCCTGTGCCGTCCCGACAGTGGGCGCAGTGTGTGAGCCCCTGTTATAGCCACTGTGTCAGTCCATCTGATAGTTGAGGGTGTTCCTCTTGTTCTATGACCTTCTACCAAGCATGGCATTTTACCCACCACGACTGGTCCTTCCTCATATCCTGTGCAAAGATGAGGTCGCACCATCCTAGCTTCTAAGAACCATCCTGACTGGACTTTTCTAGAACCGATGAATCGTTATTCTGTCAGTCCCTAGCATAGTTTAATGTTCGTCTCCCACGCCCCAGTCCATAGGCATCGGTTCTTCTGAGGTCTTCTGCAGCCAGGTGAAAAGACTGAGTCAAGTACACCTTAGACCTCAAGTTCTTGGTGCCCATAGAATAGAAAGATGACTTAGCTATTCTAATGTCATTTTCAATATCGAACAGAATTGTTCAAGTCAAAGAAATTCCGATGAAGCATCTGGTCCAAACCCTTTCTTTCCCCCCTGAGCAAAACCGACCCACAGAGCTCAATCGCTGAGCTCTCCACCCTCATCCAGCTCCAGCTAGACCGACCACCGAGTGCTGGGGGTGCCTGGGAATCAGGGGCTGTGTCTCGTGGCAATCCCATGAAAAATGTGGCTGGGTCCTGCACCCTGCTCGTGAACGGTGATGAACCTCAGCCGACGGTGGCCACTTCCCGTGCACTGCCTTCCGGCCTAGGTGGCTCAACTTCCACCACTGTGTGACCGTAGTCTATTAAGGCCCATACACTTTGCATTGGCTCATTTTTCAGAAATAGATCCCTAGCGTTTCTTCTTGGTGTGTGAAAGCGCCACTTTGGTTCAGCATGATAGCCACAGCAAGCCCACCATAGTACCGCTGGAAGGCAATCACCCTTAACCCTGTTAACAGTGAATAGTACAATCCTATCGGTCTTACCCGAGCCTATCAAGTAATTGACTGCACTACAGGTCTGTTCCTGACTGCTTATCGTGCTGCAAAATAAAACTGCACCCCGGGGATGCAGTTGGACAAGGGAAAGCTGATAATTATCAGACTAGATAAGATGCTAGTATTTAAGTTAGCTGGCGGTTATCAAACTTGTTGATTGTTTTGAAGCTCATTTTGTCACTTGGGATTTTGAAGGATTTATGGCACCATAGCATAGGATTTTGGTTGATTCTTTTAAAAGGCAATTATTGGAATTAGGTGGGGTTTTTTTCTTGGTCTCCTATGACCTAATGAGATTACCAGACCATTTGCTTGTTTTTTGTCTTGGCCACTAAACCTTTGAAAAATCGGTTGGTGGATTCGTATGAATTAAAAGGAAATACTAAGGTCCATTGTTTGGATTGTTTATGTTAATATTTTAAATTCACTATTGTCAAGTTTGCTCTCAGCATGTTACCAGTGTTTGTGAAGAAAACATTTCCCCTATAAAATGATATACAATGCTGTTCTTTCAGTTGAATACAATAAGGCAAATATAGAAATGTCCTCAGACCAAATACATTTTTAATGTAAATTTCCTCAGACCAAATACATTTTTAATGTTTTCCCCCAAGTTGTTTGTGGTGAAAGTGGCTAAATTAATGAACTTTTGTAACTTGAGTATTTATTCTAACAAGAACAATGATTTCAAAATTAAGTTTGTTATTTGAAGACATATTAAAGGCTCAGATGAGTTATATTCTATTTTCATTATAAAGTAATTTTGAGAGATTCGTAAAGTTTCCTGTAAATATTAGCATTACAAACTGAATCATTTTTTAAATCCTTCTATAAAAAATCATCAGATTGCTAAAATTGGTCTATATGTTTTGAGGTTACTGTATATGGTATATTACAAAGGGGCTTCAGAAAATTCATGGAAAAACGGAATTGAAAGATAACTTTGGGTAATACCATTTTTAGAATCATGAATCAAAACAAGGAGCATTTTGACTTTTAATAGTATTATCTCTTTACTACCAGGGAAATAATGTTCTTCTGATAAGGCACTCGGGTAGCACAGTGGATTAAGCACTGGGCAGCTAACCAAAGGGTCAATGACTAGACCCCACCAACCACTGCCCGGAGAAGCACGAGGCTGTCTGCTTCTGTGAAGATCTGTAGCCGTAGAACCCCAGGCGCGGGTTCACTCTTCCCTGTAGGGCTGCGATGAGTTTGAATCAATGCAGTGGCAGTGGGGTTTTGGTTTGATGTAAAGCGTGGTATTAATACTCCTAGAAGCAATTTTTTTTCCCCTGGCTCTTGGTTGCTACTATTGTTTTGTTTAGTTGAGACGATAAAAGTAAAATCTTTTCTTCCCTGACAACCATCCTTGTGCCCTGAACCTCTGTCGTGACCACAGTTAGGCGAGTGTGATTATGATTGATAGACTTATTTCTGTACGTTTGAAGATGACCGCATTTTAATTTGCCACCTACAGCTTCCCACATTGGGTTAGAAAAGAATCACATGCGGCAAAGACTGTTGTCGGTCTGTTTCAGCTGGGGTCTTCTCTCGTTCCAGATGGGCGCATGTTTCTCAAAGGTGTTCAATGGCTGCCCCTTGAAGATCCACTGTGCCACGTCCTGGGTAAACCCAGACACCCGAGGTAGAGTGACAGCTTTTTAGTCCACTTGTCTCGCTTTTTTCTTCTTCTTCTTTAACTTGGGGCCCAAATAGATTTTTTTGTTTTTGTTTCTGAAAAATGTGTTTAGGAAAAAAAGAAACATGTTTTGGGGGACTGTGTGTCTGTTACTGTCAGTGTTTGGGCAAATACCTGGCCAGAGAGTTCCACAGAGCGTCCATCATGTGAACACACAGTGAAACAGGCAGTGTGTCCCCCTAGCTTTCTCCAGAAACAACTCCTCTGCTGCTCCCTAACAGCCGGAGAGCTTTGGGTTTGAGGAACCGCTGTTGATGAAGGCGTTTAACTATGGAAGATCCTTATTTAGCCCACTACCTGCTTTTCAGGGGGAAAAAAATTTACTACTTTTCTACTGTAGCCCATAATCCAGGGTCAAGTTTAGGTCTGCCCTTTTGCAACCTCCCTAGATCATGCCAGCGCCCCCAGGGGTTGGCATCGCCCACTTTGGGTAACAGTGGTCACTCTGGAGGATCTCTGTCCTTAGAGAAGAGCTCATTATCAGAATAATCGTCATGAGGCACTAAAGCCTGCCTGTGCCCTCTGTCTGGCTGGTTATATCTTAACATCTGTGTAAGACAAAGGCACATGAAGCACAGGGGCTTCAAAAAGCTGGTGGGACAACCCTATTATGTTTTCATTCTATTTTTCTGTGAATAGGTTGCAGCCCCCTCGTGTCTGCGTTTCGGTATGTCAGAATACATATATGGTGATAAGTCAAAAGTATTGCTACAAAATCATAACTTTTATTTAAAACGTCCCAATGGGAAGCCCTTGTTCCTTGGCAGATTCTCCATCTAGGTCTATATACTTCCGAAGGCTGTGCTTCCATCTCCTACCTTTCCCCAGAGAATGCTGCACTGGGCGATTCACACAGTGTTAACATGACACCCTCAGGGGGACGGGTGTGTTCCTTCCTTTACAATGTTCTTTGAACTGGGGACCAAGAGAAAGCTGAAAGGGCAAGATCAAGGTGGTAGAGTGGATGGAGAAAGTCTCCCAACAAAAATCCAGCAAATTAGCTCTTGCTACCTTCGAAGAATGAGCATAATGGAAAATAAGTTTCCTTGCCTTTTCCTCACCAGTGCAGTGTTCCATTGTCTTAAAACTTCTTCATCAAGTTGTCCCTTGTCCTTCAAGAAAAACTGTCCAGAGGTGGTGCCTTTGGGATCCAAAAACACAATCACTTTGAACTTCCAGATTTCCTACCTGGATGTAACTGGCCCAGCACATCGCCTCGGCAGCCACGGCCCTAATCGGACCTTCCTGTAGAAGGCTCGCTAACGAGACTGAAAATACGTGAAAGAACTTGTTTCCACCATCCACCAGTCACAGAGCCATGGCTAGCCTGTCCTTTTCCTCTTGTGGTAGAATAAACCTGTGTATGAACCACAGTCCTAGAGCACTGCTCTTTGACATACCCTTAGATGTGTGTGCATTTATACATACGCACATAGTAAATAAATCTATATTTTAATAGCTATCTGATGTAGAGACAGATATATGCATGTATACGCATACATGCCTATGTTGGTAGGTCTCTGCATCTCACATAGATATTATTATAGATGTGCGTGTATCTAAATGCATATACATGTGTATATTCTTATTTAGTCTTCAAAAAATCCAATTAGATGAGTCCTTTCATTTCACAGGTAGGGAAGCTGACACTCAGGTTGACAGTTTCACTACCACCTGGTTGTAGTGCTGCGGTTTGAACCTAGTTTTCTCTGACCACAAAGTTTATGCTGTTGACCTGACAGTTGTAATCCTAAATACAGTACCATCTAGGGACCTTCTTGGCATGCCAAGTTGTTCTCAACACCTTTCTGTTTCATTTGGAAATGCTCTTGGACCTGTTATCTTACGTTTTCTGTAGAACAACTGTGGGTAGGCGTCTCGATCTTTTAGCAGATACTCAGCAGCCTAGCATGTGTTCAGGTTTAGTTAACCTAATGAGAGTGCATCTAATAATTGCCCACCTGTCAACAGTTCTTTGAATCTATATCAGCAGTGCATGATTGACTTCGGCGTGTAGGTTTCACATAGTCCTTTATTTCGGAGGGTTTTCTGAAAAGTTGCAGGTTCTCTGCCCGCCCTTTGTGCCCTTTGATGAGGGAGGGGGCCGGTGTGCCACTATACAAACCCTCCTCATGTAACAGTCTAACTCACTGCTTAAAGCTAACATTCACATATCACTCAAGTATCTAACCTCCTTGCATTCAAATTAAAAATAGGATTCGTTGCTTATAAATCAGTGATTCTTACATGCTAACGCACTCATTATTGAATTTTAGATTATAAAGGTATTTTATTTATGAGAACCCATTAGAAGATTTTTCTTTGTTGTTGTTATTTCAGATCAATACTTGATATTTGGTGCCGAAGAAGGGATTTATACCTTGAATCTTAATGAACTTCATGAAACATCAATGGAGCAGGTATTTTGTACTTTTAAGTTCTTATAGACAGTAGGTTAAAAGTTTTAATTATAGGAATTGTTTATTAAAAAAGCCTTCCTGAAGCATATGTTATAGACCAGAGAGTGCAGACAGATGGCTTCCCAGGACTGGTCCTGCCCCCTCTAAAGCTTCGATCTAGCAGGGAAAGCAGACGTAGAAGTCCACGACTGCACCGCTAGGGCTAGATATCATGCTAGGGGGAAGTACAAGGTATAAGACAGAGAGGCAGTAGCCACTGGGCACCTCATGTAGGGAGACCAGCAGGTGACACTGAAGGAGCAGCCAGTACAGAGGACAGATGGTGCCTTCAGTTGGGTCACATGGAGTTTTGAGGCCCTCTGCAATGTGAAACGAATTCTTCATTGTCCATAGGCGTTGGAAAGAAAATTCTTCCAGTGAGGATACTTTCGTTACAACCAAGCATTTTCACCTTTCCTCGTCACAGCTTATTTTTGTCCTATTTTCTAATAAGACCTAAACAATACGTAGACCTGTATGCTGAAAAGTACATAAGACCAAGAAAAAGATCTTGTAACTTATAATAATTAAGCAGAAGTGGTAATATTTTTCTTGACTACAATCAGATGCCCCCAAATTGTATTATTTTAACAGTGTTAATTGCCATGCATAACTAAAGTAAATATCAGCCTGATTTTAGAGACTCTTAACCAAAGGCCCCCACCCCACCCCCAACCCAGTCTGCAGTAGCTCCTCACCTTGGACGCCCTAACATTCGAAACTGCACTATTACAGTCACAGGTACTGTCTGCGCTCAACAGTGAGCACTCTGGAAAATTAAACATTTCTCTCTCTCAAGAAAAGATGTATGTGTGAACTCCTGAATTTTTAAATCACACTGTGGAGTTGATCGTTAAGTTGGTTTTCTGCGGACTCTGGGGACACGGAGAGGCATGATTCACTGGATCGACTGCAGAAGAGAGGAGATGGCGCGAAGCAGGGTTCTTCTGATGGGAAACCTGTCTCGGCTTTCCTTGCTTAGGCTAACAGCTGTCGGGTGCTCAGTGTGGGCCAGTCACTGCTGTAAGTGCTTTAGAAGGAGTGTCTCTTAATCTCCACAACAACTCTATGAGGCATAGGCATGTCATTGCTAGATACGATCAGAGTCAAGTCAGCGGGAAGAGCACGTAGCTGAATGGAGACATCCAACTAATTGCAGGTTCTACTGAGCCGGTCCAGTACATTTCATGAAACTGATTATCTTGCCTGTACTCTTATCTTGGGAGAGGAGTAGATGTTAGAAATTCAGAAAAGCTTTAGAGTTTAAATGGATGAGGTTAAAAGTGAAAACCAGAAGCTACATCCAATACTTTAATACCTTTGCAGGAAGAGCATTCCATTGTCCCTGTGTTGATAGGATAATAGGAAAGGAATTTGTATCCTCCCCAGGAATTTATATTAAATAAGCAATTGCACGAAGATTTGACACTATATAATCTCACAGTAAACCATACATGTAATATTAGAGAAATACTTTTTAAGTATTTATATAAAAATAAAACCGATTCACCACTGCTACTGTGTACTGTACTGTTATGCAGTCGGACCGCTTTCGCTGCATCCTGCTCTCAATCCAGTCAGTGATAGGGAAGTGACTGTTCTAGGCTCTATGTTATACAGCACTGTGCTATAGGCACATTTTCCAAATGATGTCACATTTATCTTGTTCAGAGAAATGACGTGTTTCCTATGAAATCATTTCCCAAATAAATGAAACCATCAGACTTTGCTTAAATTGCTTCTTCAAATTTTATT